CTCTTTTCCCCAGCTCCTGGCAACCCCTATTCTACTTTGTCTTTCTACAAGCTTGAGTATTTTAGGTACCTCATATAAGTAATCATATAGTATTTGTGACTGGCTTATTTCACTTAATGTAATGTCCTCAAGGTTCATCCATGTTGTAGCATATGTCAGAATTTCTTTTTAACACTGAAGAATATTCTGTTGTATGTGTATACTACATTTTGCTTATCCATTTATTCATGGATGGACACTTGTGTTCCTTCTACCTTTTGGGTATTGTGAATAATGCTGCTGTGAACATGGGTATTCAAATATCTGTTCAATTCCCTGCTTTCAATTCCTTTTGGTATTATTGTACTGTGAAATATATATTTGGTCTTTGTTCCAGTTTCCTGGCATATACCTCCTAAGATTCTTGGAATCTCTAAAGTGATGTCTTTTTATATGTTAATGAGTTGACAGATGGCTGGCAACTCTTAGGTAGCTTTAGGAAAGTGGCTAGTCACCAGAAATGATTAGAAGGTTGGGACTTTTGGCTGCAGTCCCATCCTTTAGGGAGGAAAAGGGGGCTAAAGGTTAAGTTAATCACCAGTAGTCAATTGTTCAATCAATTATGCCTACCTCAGAAAGCTTCTCTAAAACCTGCAAAGGACAGGGTGTGGGCAGTTTCTAAATAGTGGACTCATGAAAGTTCCAGAGGGTGGCATGCCAGGGAGGTTATGAAACCTCCACGTCCCTTTTCATCTTTTACCCTAGGCATCTCTTCATCAATATTTTTTGTAATATTCTTTATAATAAATTATTAAATGTAAGTTAAGTGTCGTCCTGAGTTCTGTGAGCCTTTCTAGCAAATTAATTGGACTAGAGGTGGGGTTCCCTCGTTTATAGCCAGTCAGTCGGAAGTGCAGGTAAAGCAACTTGCTGAGGCTTGCAGTTGGCATAGGATGTGGGGGGCAGTCTTGTGGACTGCGCCCTCGACCTGTGGGATCTGATGCTATCTACAGGTAGATAGTGTCAGAATAAAATTGAATTAGAGGACACCCAGTTGGTGTCCATGCTGCAGAGTTGGTTACTTACTTGGTGTGTGGGGAGAATCCCACACATATCTGGTGTCTGAAGTACTCTGTGCTGGGAGAGTATAGTAGGATACATCAAGTTTGGTTATTAGTAGTAGTATCTATTATTTAGTATATATTATTATTAATATATACCCAGAAGTATAATTGCTGGATCATAGTGTAATTCCATCGTTAATTTTTTGAGGAACCACCATACTGTTTACCTTAGTGGCTACACATTTTACATTCTCATGACAATGTGCTCAAGACTTTCTGGAAGAACGTTTGGCAGTCTTTTATAAAGTTAAACATACACTTGCTGTATGACCCACCAGTCCCAGTCCTAGGTATTTACCTTAGCAAATGAAAAGTTGTGGTCACATGAAAACTTGTATAGCTGTGTTTCACAAAGCTTTCTTTGTAATACCCCCAAGTGGGAAACAACTGAAAACTTCTTCCCCTGGTAAATGGGTAAGCAATCTTTGGTACATCTATAGTGAATGGAATACTACCCAGCAAAAAAAAAGGATCCAGCAACTTGTTTGGATCTCAGAGGTAACATTCTGAGTGAATGAAGACTGTCTCAAAGGCTTACATATTGTATTATTTTATTTATATGACAACCTCAAAAAAATGCAACTATAATGTTAGAGAACAAATCAGTGGTCGCAGGAGTTAGTGGGAAAATGTGGCCGTAATGGAGCAGCACCAGGGAGTTTCTTATGGTGATGGAGCTGTTTTGTATCTGATCTTGAAGCAGAGGCTATATGAATCTATATTTTTTAAAACTTCTGGAACTGGCCAGGCATGGTGGCACACGCCTGTAATCCCAGGACTTTGACAGTCCAAGGCTGGAGGATCACTTGAGCCAAGGAGTTTAAGATCAGCCTGGACAACATGACAAAATGCCATCTCTAGAAAAAATTAAAAAATTGGCCTAGTGTGATGGTGCATGCC